AAATTAAACCGTCCGGGGGAAGCCCCCGCCGCCGCCTTCCCCCGAGGCTTTCAAAGCCGCGGAGGGGCTCCGGCGGCGGGGCATCCGGCGTACAAGACGACCCCCGATTTTTGGGGGATGTTTTTTAACTTCAGAGGTCGACTTGTACGCCGGAATATACGGTACAAGTTGAGGCCTTGATACTCCTGCTCTTGGACTGTAATCACAATAGGGAGACAGCTTGGCGTCCAGCTGTGCAGTAGGTCAGATACCTAAGCTGCTAAAAACTACAGGGCAGAACGTTTGACTCTTGGCACTTCACTGCATCCAGACAAGAAATCAGATGTTTGTGCTATGTCACAGTATATAAGCCTTTGCTAAAATAAGGGACACAAATGTTCTATTTTCAGAACAATAGAGGACCAAATCAGGGACATTTTGTTTCCCCCTTGAAAATGTAAAGCCACCAGAGCCTCGTCCTCCTCTAAATGAATAAATATTAATATTAGGAGCTTGCTATGACACTCATGAAAAAAATTAGAGCATAAATGAACTTTATTTCAGCTACGGCCTTATGCAAAGATTTTCAGCAAGATCTCTTCTGGATGTGAAAATGTATTGTTGCACTAAACTGGAAATAATCAGGCTGGGCCTGGTCAAAAGTTATATGGAGAATTTCAAAGAAAACACAGCCTGATGTAAATAGTTTTGGTGAGTCAGTAAATGAGGCTCTTCCCACAGAATCAAAGCTACACTAATGTCCCATCATATATGATGTTAGCAGCAAATAGGTTAACACATCAGATGCCAAGCAATTCCAATGTCTCGTTCATATGTAGTCATAAAGACTGGCACTTTTTGAAAGCAGAGAGGGATTGTTTCTTGAAGGTGGGGGGAGAGGGTTAGGTTGTGGCACCTTAAAGACTAGGGCCTGGTCTACACTAAACCTGGCAGGTCAGCTTAAGGTACGCCATCCAGCTATGCAAAATGCGTAGCTGGATTTGGCTTATTTTAAGCCAAGCTGCTGAAGTGTCTACACTGCAGGAGGCTGACGGGAGCACACGCTCCCGTTGGCTTCCTTTCCTTCTCATAGAATGAGTACAGGACGCCGGCAGGGGCTGCCCTCAGCATTCAGTTTTGGGGTCTACACTAGACCCACTAAATCGAACACTAGAAGATCAACCTCTGGAGGGTCAATCTTCTCCATAGTGTAGACAAGCCCCAACAGATTTATTTGGGCATAAGCTTTTGTGAGTAAAAAACAGTTCATCAAGTGCATGGAGATGAAATGGTTTTTCCTCACAAAAACTTATGCCCAAATATATCTGTTAGTCTTAAGGTGCCATAGAACTCATTGTTAGTTTTTCACTTACTGGAGGTAGAGGGACCCCAGGCCCTTCGACCCTACTAGAGGGGGAACTTTAAGCAGGGAGTCTAAATCCACTGTCCTGAGCTACTTCCTACCAGCATCCCTTCAGTTTGTGCTGTGATCTTTATTTTCCAATTTGCTGAGGCTTGCCTCTCATGGATTTGGGGTGATGCTCAGACACTGTCCCAGCCTCATTTAGGCAAGACACTCATAAGTTTGGTGACACCAAACCCCACAATTATAGGCACCAACTCTATGGGTGCTCTGGGGCTAGAGCACCCACAGAAAAAACTAGTGAGTGCTCAGCACCCTCCAGCTACTTTCAATCAGCTGCTCAGCAATAGGTAGGCAATGCTGGAGAGAGGGAAGCAAGGCAGGAAGAGGCAGAGTTGGGGACAGGGCCTCATGGGGCAGGCCAGAGCAAGGTGGGAAAGGCCAAATGGTGGGGTGTTGGGAAAAGGGCAGAGTGGGGCAAGGCCTTGGGGCAGAGCAGGAGTGGAGCACCTACTCAGACAGAAGATCAGCACCTGTGCCCACAAAATCTCTGACCTGCAGCTTCCTCAGTTGCCAGACAGATATACAGGCAATCCCCGGGTTACGTACAAGATAGGGACTGTAGGTTTGTTCTTAAGTTGAATTTGTATGTAAGTCGGAACTGGTACATATTGTAGGGGAAACTCTAGCCAAACATTACTCCAGAGTTCAGTTTTATTCTCCCACACCTCACTTCCCTCAGTTCTTTATTCTCAAGCTGAGGTGTCTGCTGAGAAAAGCCTCTCCGTGTCTCCCTGGTCTGCTGGGGGAGGCTCTAGCTTCGCGTCTCCCTGGTCCGTTGGGGGGAAGCAGCTAGTGCAGGGTTGCCTCACCCCGTTTGTAAGTAGGGATCCGATGTAAGTCGGATCCATGTAACCCAGGGACTGCCTGTACTTAAATCTCCTCCACAGCCTCCTTTGATTGGAATAGAGAACACGATGACTTGGCTAGCAGTCTACCTTTCAGTTAGGGCAGTAGATAGCTCCTGCCTGTTTACCAATCAGCCTGAACTGGACCAGGCTTTCTCCTTTTCTCTCCCCTTCAGACCTCGCATTAGCTGCAGGGATAAGGAGGAAGGGCTAGCTAGGCCCAAAGGCTCTTCTTAGCCTTTGCCATGCTGATGGGCACTTTTTCAATTTCACCACAGGTTCAAAAAATTAAAATATATTATTATTAGTGAATGATAGTCCAGAATAAACAATGAGGAGTCCTATGACACCTTAAAGACTAAGGTGATGTTATTCCAAAATAACAGTGCGTGTCTACATTACAACCCTTTATTTCAAAATAATGTTGAGTTGGAGGACTTCTTACTCCAACTCATGCTAACCCTCATTTCACGAGGAGTACGGGAAGTCAAAGAAAGGGTGTTTAGACAGAGCCAAAAGCGGAATTAAGCTATTTTGACTTAAGCTATGCAATTGACGTAACTGAAGTTGCATAACTTAATTCAACTTTTGCCCTGGTCTGTAGAAGTAACTCTTGGGTATAAGGTTATGTGGGTAAAATCCACTTCATTACCCACAAAAGCTTATGCCCAAATAAATCAGTAGTCTTTAAGGTGCCACTGGACTCCTCCTTGATTTTGCAGATACAGACTAACACAGCTACCCCAATGAAACTTGTCCAGAATAATAGTGGTTCAGGCACATGCCTGTATGCTGAATAAACCATAATGTAGTTTCTGTGCCACTGAGTTATTTTTCATGTGTTGTGCTCCCTGATGCATCAGGTTCCATCTTCCCATTATTCAGAGTTGTGTGTGCCAAATATTTTTAATATTGTTTTTCTGTATTAAAGTTCCCCCAGTTGTGCAGGTCACGATAACAAGAGTCTGTTAATAGGCAGTTGCTCAGTCAGGGAGATTTGGTTCATATAATTAAAATGATTGCTTTGCTTTGAGTCATACTGCTTGATATTGATTCTTTTCCTTGTTTACACAGCTTCCATCAGAACTGGCCCTAAGTATATTAAAGCAGACCACTGGCTGACTCCTTTCACCTCATGCAAGTTCTGCCATATTCATGCTGGCCCTACATCCCATGGCAGGATTGTGCAAAGCTAAGCTAAATCTTTATGAGACACCCCTTTACTGTAGGACCATGGGGCTAGAAGTATCAACACAAGTCCTGATTTCCACAACTTGTGTCCCCTTCAAGTCTCTCCCCTTTTTCCTCATCCCACCGCTCCCAAAATCCCAGGCTTCAATTTGCCCTCTTCCACACTTATTCTTACTGTTCTTTATTGGCCAAGGCTGAGTATGCAAATAATTGTCCTGAATTGGCTTTTCCTAAGTCATCATGGGAACATTGTATTGTATCAAGTATTATTGCTCTGGCTTCAGTGTTGGAAGCATTCTTGTGCAATTTCGTAATAACCTTAATATGACTGGTAACCTGGGCCATATTTTAGTGCATCTTCTTTATGCTGTTTCTGTCAGCTGTTGCTGATCTCATCAACCATAATTTTTTTATGCTTAAGGGCCTTCTAAATATCTTTTGGATCAGACTCATTTCAAGCCCACCATTCCACTTTTGAGCATAATAGCGCTGTATGGTCAATAGAAAATCTCTATGGCATGCTGTAAATTCTATTCATTTAGCTACATATATGACCCCATCACTTAGGGATGGCCCGTGAGCCTAGGTGAACTAGGCAGTTGCCTAGGGCGCAGCTGGCCCGGGTGCCCGATGATGACATCACGGCCATTGACAGGGCTCGCATGGAGGCAGCTCTAAAAGGCTGGGCTGCAAGGAGGCAGCCGTGGTAGACTGGGGGAGTTCCAGCCAGGGAAGCCCCAGGCCATAAGACCACAAGGCAGGGTTTCAAGAAGCAACTGGGCAGTAGGGTTGCCAGGTAGACCCTGCCAAAAAACTGGACACACTTGGTCGTGGGCGGTGGCGATGGCGGGGGAGAACCGGCTGGGAGGGGGGTTAGGTGGGGGAGGGGGGGGACCCCGGGGCCGCGGGGCTCGCTGGGGGGGGGGGGGG